ATGACCAACCCTTTTTTGCTATACCGCACTGCTCTACTTTCACTGACAATTGTGCGGTCATGCAACATTGTACACAAATGTAATGAATAGCATTTTTTTTCCCACACAAATAGAGATATCACCACTGGGTTTTTTTATTTTTTGCGCTATAAACGGAAAAAGACCAAACATTTTGAAAAAAAAAAAACCATGTATATATGTATATATTTGCTATAAAACATATCCAATAATTTTTTTTAATTCCTTCATAAATTTAGGCCAACATGTATCCTGCTACATTTCTCTGGTAAAAACAAAACAAAAAAAATCCCAATTAGTGTATATTAAGATGGAATTGCACTGCATCTGAGCACCACAAATCAGAAGTGCTATTTAATTCATTTTTAATTCAAGGCAAACTTCCCCATCCATCCTTGTCTCCATGCTTTATTTTGCTGAGAAAAAAAGTTTTGAAAAACATGGCATTTCTGGCAGTGGCCATCTTGAGTAAGGGCAGCTGATTCATGTATCATTTACTTCTTGGAATCCATCTGCCCTTAGTTCAGGTATAGGCTGAGAACCCTCTCTTTTGAAGACTGCTGGGATGCATGATATAGTTTGCCTAGGCATGGAAACCAAGAAGTAACTGAAGAAGTGTAAAAAAATAGTTTAAAACAAGTAAATGAGATACATTTTCCTATCTATTTACTAATGCTAGCAGCATAAGGATTACAAATAGTTCATGTTGATTGAGAGAGTGAAGCTCTGCTTTAATTGTTTTGTATGTAAGTTTTTTTTTATACTAGTAATGGCAGCGATCAGTGACTTATAAGAAGGGCTGTGATAGCATGACACTAACTGACACTTTGAGGGCACTGACTGACACTGACATCACCAGTGAGGCTAATACAGTGATCAGTGCTAATAATTTGCACAGTTACTGTACTAATGACACTTGGTAGGAATAAGTTAACATCTTGGCCAATCAGAGGTTATCTGTGTGCCTAGCAAGTGTTATTGTGTTAAATGTGTGCTGTTTTTACTAAGAAATGTGACTTTTTTTTATTTTCTGCTTTGCAGGGAGACAAAAACTACCACATCCCCGCTGTCAGTAGAGAGATCTGTGTTGTTTACCATTAATTATAGGCTGGGATCTGCTGATTGGCATCTAAGGGATTCAGTGACAGCGCAGCTGGGTGGGCGAGCGCATGCATGTGCACCCCTTGCCCGAAAATAAACAATCACGTATATTTACATGATTCTGCACAGCCGGCTTGCACTGTAGCAGTAAAACTGCTTATCCTATGTGTCCATGCACATTAGGACATTTAGGCTTAGTTCACACTAGCTTTGAAAGCAAGCGTTTGAGGGTAATTTTTAACGCTCCTCAAATGCCTCTAGAAATTTTACTATGGGCAACACACAATGCTGTTCACATTAGCAAAAGATGAATTTTTTTTTTTTTAAAAATTGAAGCCTCATGTCGAGTCAGGAGGAATTGAAGCCTTTCAGCACCTCCCATTCAAGTCTATGGTGACACTCCTCAAATGCCTGGCAGGCGTTTGCGGGGAGTTAATATCATTAGAGTTTATTATAGGTGTTTGTAATGCGGTTTTAACGCTTGTAAAACTCCTCAAAACCATGCACATGGCATTTGAGGAGCATTTTTAACACTTGCAGAACGCCCATACTAAAGCTCATTAATGCCTGTCTAAGGCTATAGGAGCGTTTTTGAAGAGTTAGAAATTTAGTCAAGTGTGAACAAGCCCTTAGAGGCATATTTTAAGCTCATTGTTTAGAGACAGAAAAAAAAAAACCTTTCGGGATTGCAATTTTGAAAGGAGTTTTCTGGCATAAAAAAAAAAAACCGCTAAACACACCTCAATGCTTGTACAAAAACACTCTATTTTTCAGTGTTTTTTTCTGCCAAAGGAACTGGCATTTTTTTAATTCCAGTGTGTATGGACGCAAAAGTGACACTTTACTCAAGGAAAAAATTGTGAACAGGCAGACTTTCTCATACAGATGAGACATACTGGGGGAGATTTACTAAAAGCTGGTAACCAATCAGCTTTTAACTTCATATATGTAAGAAAGTGCAACGCTAAAATATATATATATATATATAATATATATATATATATATATATATATATATATATATATATATATATATATATTGCGGAATGATAAAGTGCAACACATAAAACATTTAGTAAATGCGAAATCTAAAAATCAAACAATATGGTATCATGAGTGCATCATGAATGTAATGAGCTGAGTGAAACAGTAAAGTGCATCAAGTAAAAGCATGAAAATATCAGCTAAACAGCTCAAAAAGCAAATGCCAAACAATAAAGTGTATCAGGGGCAGAATCTAAATACAATAATGTCCTTGGTGATCCGTGAAGTAAAGTGCAGTAGTAAATGATGTTACAGTAAACATATAAAATCTGAGATATATAAATAGGATAAAACTCTACATCAATGTCCGTGGTTAAACGTGCTATTTATATAGTCAAATATCCATAAATGGAAGCAGTTGTCCGTGAAGCCATGAGGCACAGTATAATTAAGGTGCAGAGTACAAATTTTCTGATGATCACACACAAAAGAATCCACCACCTCTCTCGGATGTACACTCACCATATGAAAACTGGTAATAGGCAATCAAGCATTAAACATCTGAGAATGGAAGGCGGCCAAAGGGTTAAACCGGACCAAATTCATCCTGGGCACTCGGATGGGAAGTCAGCTTTTGTCCTAGAGGGGATAGCTCACCACAGGAGCCAATAAGGTTGCATATAGTGTAATATTTATTAGAACATAGAAAAGTATCCACGTGGAGACAGAAATCAAAAAGCATAAAAAGTGTACCAAGATGGCCACTGCTCTGACCATCGGCAGCGGCGGTGTGACGTCAGCAAATGGCGGCTCCATCCAACACCTTGTTTTTTTTTGAGCATGGAAAGCATTGCACCAACGATCAGCAGATTGCTGGTGCCATGTAGGACTCCTGCAAACTATCAGTGTATTTGTGTGCCCATACAACCCGTGAGTGAGTTCTACATCCTTACCGCCCGGACATTGAAAAACCCCCTATGCAGTTTAAGGTTAAACAGCTTCTCCTCCAATTTCATCGATTGGCTGCATGTCTTGTTACACTCCGCGAGGTTAAACAGTTTATTCCTTACACTAGAATTACTAGAGTCACTGCTGTATATAAAAATTAGGAATAGTGGTCCGGCTATAACCTCACTGAGTTCTTTGAGGACTCTCGGGTGTAAGCCATCCGGTCCAGGTGATTTATTTGTGTTGCGCTTTTCTAGTCTTTTTCGGGCCACAAGGATACTTTCTGTTATGTATTACTAATGATACAGGCTTGATTACTATATCCTTCCTTTTCCTTTGCAAAAACTGAGGAGAATAATGTATTTAGTACAGTTGCCTTCTCCTTGCCACTTGTAACCAGGTTCCCTTCATCATCCTTTAGGGGCCAGTATGTTCTGACCTCGCTTTTTTACTATTAGTATATTACAAATATTTCTTGAGATTCTTTTTTACTCTTCTCTGCTATGTGTCTCTTGTAATCTGTTTTAGCTAATCTGATTGCTTTCTTACACTTTTTATTGCATTCCATGTAGTGTTGGAATGCAGACAATGACCCCTCTGCCTTATATTCCTTGAAGGCCATTTTTTTCTCTTTGATATGTCCTTTTACGTTAAAGTTTAGCCACCCAAGTGTAACCTTTGCTTTTTTTATTTATTGCCATTTGGAATACACTGGATAATACCTTTAATATTTTCTTAAAGTATTCCCTTTTTTTTCTCGGTGTTCAATGTTTCTAGGATTTGGTCCCTTTTAATATCTTGTAGTTTTGAAAGTAGTTTAGAAAAAGTTGTCTCTTTTGAAGTTTGGTGTTTCTGTACTACTCTTGTGCCTCCTTATCCTATTATTTATGCTGAATGTAATTATCCTGTGATCACTGGTTCCCAAGTTGTCCTTTATTTCCACATATGCGACCAGATCTGTGGTAATTAGTAGATCTAGCAATGCATTCTTTCTAGTCGGGAAATCCACCAACTTGCTCATGAAGTTGACCTGTACATTTAGGAAATGGCGAGCCTTATATGAGTGAGCTGTTTCTTCTACCCAGTCAATATCTGGATAGTTGAAGTTCCCAATTGTGATGACATTGTCCTGCCTCACTACCATTTCTAATTGTGATAGGAGATTGAACTCTTCCTCATCCTTCAGGTTAGGGGGCTGTAGCATATCCCCACTATTATTTTCCTGCATGTCTCTTCCCTTTGGAGTTTCACCCACAGGGATTCCGCCTCACCCCACGTTCCATTTGCATTGTCGTCCCTAAAAATAGGTTTAACATGTTCCCAAAGGTGAACTTATCCTTTAAGCTTTGACAATAAAATTTAGGAGTTGATTGATTACTATGGAAAGCTGCACCATATTCTGTGTGCACCAGTTTTAGTAAATCTCCTTCACTATTTATCTTCTGCATTTTAAAATATTCTCACCTGCCTGTATGTTTCTGTCAGGGGTGTGGAATTTAAAAAAAAAACTACTTGTCCAAGGACTAAATCTGGGTCCAATCTACCGTGTCCCTCATGACGATCTACTATGTCCTGATAAAAAAATTTTCTTTTTTGGCAGATAGAAAGTATTGAAGGGTTGCTGTTTAGGCAGACTTTTAAAAATTAAATGGGCTTTATGGTGACTTAAACATTTAATTGTTTTTTATATTTTACTAGAAAATTTCTTAGAATCCCCAAACATTGTTTTTAGAGATGAGCGAAGTATTCAAAAATTCGATTTTCGACTGATTCGGTCGAATTCGTGGTGAAAAATTTTCGATTCGAGTCGAATATATTCGCTGTGAATTTAACTTAAAAAAGGGTGTTTTTCTAGGACTTCAGAGAGACTTAATATTAGTGCTGAACACTGTACCCTTTAATTAAATGCCCTTGGAGTCTGCTGGGGAAGAGAAATAAATACTGTCAGGCAGTATGACATGCCAGATGAGTGCCGTCGATCTTAGAATCACCGCACACTTCACTCATTTGGGCAGTCACGGGGCCAAAACCAGAGTGTGGGAGCCGACAGTGTGGCGGTGGAGGCAGCAGCAATGGGAGGCCATACAGCACCCTATGACAAAAATGGAAACCACCAGCAGTGTGAGGAGAACTGAAAGTGGCACATGGCAGAGTGTGGCGATAGAGACAGCAGCAATGGGAGGCCGGTACAGGGACCCAAGACACACTCTGGACCTGGCAGCAGCATGAGGATGCGGTACAGGGCCCATGGCAAGATTACGGGCCTGGCAGCAGCATGAGGAGTCGGTACGGGGGCCCATGGCAGATTAACGGGCCTGGTCAGCAGCAATGGGAAGGCCGTACAGGGACCCATGACACAATCTGGACCTGGCAGCAGCATAGGGAGGCGGTACAGGGGCCCATGACAGATTACGGGCCTGGCAGCAGGCATTTGGAGTCGGTACGGGGGCCCATGACACACTTCCCTGGACCTGGCAGCAGCATGAGGAGGCGGTACAGGGTCGCATGACAGAATACGACCTGGCAGCAGCAACTTGGACAGGAGGACGTCTCAGTTTTCTGCACCGTCTGGTGCGTGCATCGCAAACTGTTGTCTCTTGGAAACGGATTCCAAGAAAGACAGCTGACGGAATCCGTGAAGAGGATAGCAGGAGAAGGAGCATCTGAACGAGCGGAATATGCCAAACAAGCGACAACAGGGCCCATGACAGATTACGGGCCGGCACGCTGAGGAGTCGGGGGACGGGGGCCCCGGCAGATTAGGGGCCTGGCAGCACTAGGGGAGGCCCCCAAAACTGCCAGCCCCTATGTCAAAAATGGAACCCACC